GATCCTCCGCTGTCCTCATCCTCCTTATCATTTCTCGGCATCTTCGCACCTGTTCGGGCCTCTACTTGCCGGGGTGACGCCGAGGCAGGGCTCCGGAGCACAACAGGAAGACAAACAGAGTTGCCATATGGAGGTTTCGTTTTCACACCTTTTCTCCCCACCAAGGCGACTGGCAGGTTTGGGGTTTTTTTAAAAAACTCTCCTCTCTCCCTTTGTGGCTTCACACTTTGCAAACCAGTGGAAATGCATCAGAATCGATTTTCTTTTAAAAAAATAAATAGAAGAAGAAGAAGAGTGAAACTGGGTAAGCAAGAAAGCGTTGCACGCTAAGTGTTCCTCTTTGTGCCCCATCATCAAAAACACAGTCCCTGGTAAAAGTGGCTCTGAGCGACTGTAGGAGGAGGTGTCTGGCCGGGATAACTGAGAAACGCCTTATTTCCACCGTGTCGAACTCCCGCGTGCTTACCTGTAACCTCTCTGCCGCCGAGCGCAAGTAAAACTGAAATTGAGTGGCCCTTTTAAGACTCACCAATCTTGCTCGAATCTGGCTCTCGTACGGCAAACCAACAAAGGCATCCTCTGAAACTTCATTTCGGTTTTCCTTTGCTATGGCAGATTAACACAGCAACTCTTTCGAAAGGGTTCTCAGTGATCAGACGAGCCGACGAGGGTGGTTGTAGGTTAATGTGGCAGGGATCTTGCAAAGGCCGGCCAGTCCGAAGGATGTCGTGGGCTGGGGGAAACTGGTTATGGCGAGTGGGTAAAGTTGTGGGTTTTTCCCCCCCAGCTTGCCCTGAGCTCCATCCCTTTGTTTTAAAGCTCTTTGGTGTAGTGGTTAAGAGCCAGTTTGGGGCAGTGGTTGAGAGCGCGGACTCTAATCTAGGAGAACCAGGTTTGATTCTCCACTCCTTCACATGCCGTCCCCGTCTTCTTTGACCTTCAATCTTTCCCAGCATCAGGGTCTTCTCCAGTGAGGGCTCCCTTCTCATTGGGTGGCCAAAGTACTTGAGCTTCAGTTTCATTATCTGGCCTTCCAGGGAACAGTCAGGGTTGATTTCTTTTAGGATTGACTGATTTGATCTTCTTGCAGTCCAAGGGGCTCCAGCACTACTTCACAACAATATTGTCTGTAAGCCGCCCTGAGCCTACCTCGGCAGGGAGGGCGGGATACACATCAAATCAAATAAATAAATAAATAACAGCTCTTGAACATGACACAGTACAATATGTATGGATGTTACACTGCACCGTCAGACGACGTACAAAAAGGGTCCACAGACCTCCCATGACAAAACGATGTTGCCGAGGCCAGGCGGAAATTTCCTATGCAGCCATGTCACCATAGAGTTTTTTGCTGAATGGTAGAGCGTCCCCCCGTGGTGTGCCCAGCGCCATGACGACACCTCTGGGTGACACAACTTTAATGCCAGGAGCTCACAGAGTAGAATTTTTGCTCACAGGACTCCATAGCTTAGAGGGAACATTGGGGAGGTCCAAAATCGGGGGAACTCCGCCCCCATCGGGAGGATCGCAACTGTAGTTGTATAGTGTATTGCCTATGGGCTGCTAAACTTGAATAAACTTGAACTTGAACACGCCTAAGGATTGATAAACGTTCAGAGGGGAAGGAATTGCTTTCTGCAATAAGCCTCAACGTGCTCATTAAATCACGCCACATATAATCCCTGCTATTTCTCAAGGGGCCTCAAAATATGGCACAAACTCTGCGTTTCCTGAAGATCTTTGGTCTTTAAGAGGAGGGCGATATCATACCAGAGTTTCAATATTACAGGGTTCTCGAGCTTTTCCACTCCGTCTGAAACATTTACAGAAGAAGAAGTGAAACGCTGAGACAAAAGAAAAGGCCTCTGACTGTTCATGCTGAACTCAACAACTCCATTAAAAAAGTTTCTATCCCCATTTTGAACGTTCTACATTCTAATGGTCAGTTTTTACCCTAGAACTGCCTCCCTGCCGATTCGAAACAGGATTACAAAGGTGACAAAACTCTCACCCGAAACATAATAAATTTTGTTAATCATACGCTTACGTGGCACAGTCTTGGCGACAGGACTACATCCCACGATCAAACGTAAAGAATTACTTAAACTGAATTAAGCTGCTTCTGAATAAGATTGTGAAGGGTGAGGGGGAAGTGTTTTTAATTGTGGTTTCTGATTTCAGTTCCCCAAAATATTTTTAATCCGTTGATATAAAGCATTGTGTGGCTGCTGCCTGTTCAGCATATATCCTACCATGTCCTCCAAATGAAGAAGAAGAGGAGGAGGAGGAGGAGGAGGAAGAGGAGGAGGAGATTGGATGTATACCCCACCCTTCTCTACCCGAAGGAGTCCCAGAGCGGCTTACAAACTCCTTTCCCTTCCCCTCCCCACAACAGACACCCCGTGAGGTAGGCAGGGGCTGAGAGAGCTCTTTCAATAAACAAACTGGAAAACTGTTCGTCCGCCAACCATCACACAGTGGCACTGTAAACTGTGGGCTTATTTTTTTAATGGAGAAGATTAGCAGACCAGGTTCATTCTCACTCCAAATCTGTGGGACAATGATTACCAGTGTTAGAATACTTGACGGGCAATGACACCTTAAAAGAAGTGGTGCGGTCAAACCAATATGATAGTACTAGCCGCCAAGTCCGTTGTGAAGTCAATGCAACGGACTCTAGCAAGGCCCCGGGGCGAGGGCTGAAGCCATGAAGGCTGTGGAAGTCGCTGTCAGGCCTCTCGTTGTCCGGCATCTCGCTCCCGCTGGCGTGGGCGTGCTGGTGGCTGGGTGGCCGGGCAGTCACAGGCAGGCGTCCAGCCGCCAGGTGCGGTGGGAGGAGCCCCCAATCTGCGGCCCGCTCCCCACGGCCTTGGCCAGCGCCTCCATGGCTGCGTTCGCTCCAAGGAGGTGTTGGTGGTGCCGCCACCGCTGCAGGCACGGTCCAAGCTCAGCAGCTGCAGACATAAAGCGCGGGGGGGGGGCTGAGGGCAGTCCACGAGGCTTGCCAGCGGGGGAGAGGCAACATCAACATTTCAAACACTTTCAAACTAAATTATATAACACGAAGAGTCCATAATCGCAGAAACCCACTCCAGTATAAACTGTCTTCTTCCTGATGAATAGATATCAATGTACAGTTATTTGCACCAAACAATGCAGCAACCTATTCTACATTTCCCAAGTGATGATCCATCAGGTAAAGCTAGCAGGCAGCTGGTATTTCTCACTGTGATGATTCAGCTTAGCAAGCAAGCCTAGTAGATGTATTTTCCCATGAGGTGATTCAGCGAGCAAGTAAGCCTAGCAACACGCCTCCCGGGCATAACCTGCGTGTTTCGAACAA